AGGAGTATGTGGATCTGAGCGTGCCAGCGAAGTAGAGTCTCCCACTCCACATATTTCCATGGCAGAGGTTGCAGGCCAGCGTCTAGTAAGTTGTCCAGAGATCACTTGTGTTAGGGTCTCTTTAGGCGCTTCCCTCACAGGCTTAGCCGATGAACTGAGAGAGAGGAGGCAAGCCTAGGCCAAGATGAAGAAGGATAGTAAAGGACAGCTAATCCTCGCAGATGTAGAGATATTTAGAGCTAGAGTAGGAGCCCTCATAGACAGCGGGGTGACTAGGAGCTATATTAGTCGTAAAGCGCTGAGGAAGTTGAAGTTGAACCTAAAGGTCCAACGACTAGAAGAGCCTGTGGTCAGCATCCTCGCAGACAATAGTAGGATGCACGTCGAAGAGTATGTTGAGGGGGTTCACGCCTACTTTCGCCTGGAGAAAGATGGCAAGGTAGAGAAGGTACTGCATTCCCTGACCCTCCTTGTAGAAGAGAGTCTCCCGTTTGACATAGTTTTAGGCACAGATTGGGGAGAGGCAGCAGGAGCCACACTTCACCTCAGAGAGCATGAGTGTACGCTCCCTAGTGCGTCAGGCGAAGTCAAGAAAGTCCGCTTGTTCCATGAGTCCGGGGTAGATAATCCCCTTGCCCATTGCTGCCTCAGCGCTCCTGCATTCGCCAGGCTTGTGCGAAAGGAGCAGCTTGAAGAGCAGGTGTTCGTGGCCTATGTTAGGCCAGTGTCCGATCAGCCTAAGGAGGAAGAAAAGATCCATCCTGCTATTGCCAGTCTGCTGGAAGAATATAAGGATCTATATGAACCACCTTCAGGAGTAGTGCCCAAACCGATCCAGCACCGAATAGAAATAGAACCTGGCAGTAGAACGCCAAAGGGGGCAGTCTACAGGATGTCTCCCAAAGAGTTAGAAGAGCTACGCAGACAGTTAGATGAGCTCCTAAAAAAAGGATGGATCCGGCCTAGTTCATCGCCATTCGGTGCGCCTGTTTTGTTTGTCCCAAAGAAGGAGGGAGAGCTGCGCATGTGTATTGACTACAGGGGACTGAACGCCATCACGATTAAGAATGCAGAGCCATTACCGGGTATAGATGATTTGCTGGATCGAGTTCAGGGGTGCAGATATTTCTCGAAGATAGATCTAAAATCAGGGTACCATCAGATAGAGGTCCACCCTGACGATCAGTATAAGACGGCGTTCAAGACAAGGTATGGGCATTACGAGTTCATAGTGATGCCATTTGGACTTACTAATGCACCCGCAACATTTCAGCGCTGTATGAACGACTTGTTTAGACCTTAGCTAGATAGGTTTGTCGTAGTTTACCTAGACGATATCCTAGTGTTCAGCAAGACCCTCGAGGAACATAAGGGTCATCTACGGCAGATTCTAAGTAAGCTCAGAGAGTCTAACTTTAAGATTAACCCGAAGAAGTGCGAATGGGCCAAGACACAGGTCCTTTACCTAGGCCATGTACTAGACGGCGATGGCATTCGGCCTGAGGACAGCAAGATAGCATCCATAAGAGATTGGCCAACTCCTAAGACACTAACAGAGTTGCGTTCTTTCTTAGGACTGGCTAACTACTACAGGAAGTTCGTGAGGAACTTCTCTACGATCGCTGCTCCCCTTCGTAGACTATTGAAGAAAGAAGCTATCTGGAAGTGGGATCAGGATTGTACGTCAGCCTTCAAGAAATTGAAGAAGGCTTTGATAGAGTACCCTGTTCTCAAAGTTGCCGATCCATCATTGCCATTTGTTGTTACTACAGACGCGAGTCAGTATGGCATAGGTGTCGTTCTACAGCAAGATGATGGCAACGGGTATAGGCCCGTAGAGTTCATGTCAGTCAGGCTGCCTTAAGAGAAAGTCGCCGCATCGACATACGAGAGGGAACTCTACGCTCTCAGGTAGGCTCTAGAGCACTGGAAACACTACCTGCTTGGGAGGCACTTCAAGGTTTATTCAGACCACGAGACTCTTAGATGGCTAAAACAAAGGCCAAGATGACGCCCAAGTTGACCAGATGGGCTGCTGCGATAGACCAGTATGACTTTGAGTTAAAACCCGTTAAAGGCAAGTACAACGTGGTAGCTGATGCGCTAAGCARGAGATCTGATTATTTCGGTGCGATAGTACACTATCTAGACATAGGGGCCGATCTGCAGCAGAAAGTAAGAGATGCCTATGCACAGGACCCAATCTACAGTGAGCTGCTCAAAAGAGTAAGGGAAGCCCCAGATAGTGAGCCACACTACCGGACCACGAATGGGCTACTGTTTGAAAAGACTAATGTCGCTRACAGRCTATGCGTCCCCAATAGTGAAGAGATCCGTAGTCTGATCTTAGGGGAATGCCACGATACAGAAGGGCACTTTGGATGGCAGAAGACTTTAACTAACCTGATGATGTCTTATACGTGGCCAGGCATGAAAGCAGACTGCATAGAATATGTGCGCAGTTGCAAAGTGTGTCAGCGTAATAAAGCTACGACTAGAGCCCCCCTGGGTCTTCTTAGACCCTTGCCTATTCCCTCCGGACCCGGAGATTCAGTGTCCATTGACTTCATGGATACTGGAGTCAGAAGCAGACATGGAAAAACTCAAGTCATGGTCATAGTAGACACATTTAGTAAGTATGCAGTATTTGTTCCCTTGCCTTCAGAGGCCCGTACAGAGTTAGTTCTAAGGAAGTTCTTTGATTTCTGGGTAAGCGAGAATGGTATGCCATTGTCCATAGTAAGTGATAGGGACACCCGGTTTACCAACCAGCACTGGCAAGATCTTATGAAAGTATATGGGTCTAAGTTGTTGATGTCGTCAGGACAACACCCCGAGACTAACGGTCAGACAGAATAGATGAATAAGATCTTGCAATAGCTACTCAGAATGTACATTAGACCAGATCAGCTAGATTGGGACCAGTTGCTCCCCAAAGTAGCAAGCGCCTACAACAACAGCGTTCACTTAGCTACTTGTCGGACTCCTAATGAGCTACACAAGTCTTTTAAACCTAGGCGACCACTAGAAGGACTAAACCGGGATCAGATCCAGAGACTTCCACCCGGTACTCGAGAGTTCGCACTCCATCATGAGCAAGAGGTTGCTAAGGTCACAGACAACCTGAGGAAGGCCCAGCACCGCATGATAGAGCAGGCTAACAAGCACCGCCGACCTTCACAGTTTCAGGTAGGTGACCTAGTTTGGGTCAAGTCAAAGGAGTTCGCACCGGAGGAAAACATCTCGCAGAAGCTCTCACCTGCATATAGAGGACCGTGGCCTGTCCTAGACGTCAAAGGAGGAGAGGACGGCCCGTCGTATACGATAGAGATCCCAGCACACCTCCACACGTACCCAGTCTTCCACGCCTCTAAGTTGTTACCTTGCACCACGTCTGACAGGTTCCCTTCCAGAAGGTCGATGATTCCTCCAGACATGGATGGCGCGTATGATATAGAGGGCATTGTGGAAGAGGACATGTTTAGGACAGGAGGCCGAGGTCGTCCCCAGAAACAGTACAAAGTTAGGTTCGCATACCAGGAACCGGAGGACGACCGGTGTTTTACAAGGACAGAGCTTTTAAAAACCGCTCCCGACATAGTACACGCCTACGAGAGGGAAAGAAAAGGTAAAGGTCCTTCCTTGAGTTAGAGGGTTCTCGGAGGACCTCGTATTTAGGACGGCGGGAGTGAAACGGTTTCACCCAGTTGACCTTGTACTGCAGTCACAGAGATTCGATCCCTAGACCTGTGCCCTAACCCTGTACATTGACCCTGTGTGCT